GATGGAATGGTGGGGGATGAGAGGACCCCAGAGGATGGGAGGGGACAGGGGGGACCCCAGGGGATGGAATGGAGGGAATGAGGCTGAGAAGGTGGAGGAGGAACCACGAAACCAGCACAGAGAAGACCCCAAGGGATGGAGGAGAGAAGGGAGGACAAAGATGCTGATGGGATCAGGGCAGAGGGGACTTCAAGACACAGACAGAACAGTGGGTCCAGAACAAAGGGAACAGAGAGGGCCCCCCAACCTTCTTCTCCAGCTCGGGGGTCTGGAAGGTGAGCAGGAACTTCTTGACGTGGTCCTTGCGGAGCTGGTCGATGCTGCGGGCGTCGATGGCCCGGCTCAGGAACTCGTCCACCTCATCCTCAGGGTTCAGCGCCTCCTGGGCACCACGGCTGGGGAACGGGGGGGTCAGGACCCTCCCAGCTCTGCCCCAGGGAGGGGCTGGGCACGACCCCCCCAGCAGCCCAGCATGGGAACACTCACTTGTCCTTGCTGGAGTCATCGATGCCCTGGGAGACACAAGGGAGGTGTCAGAGACACTGGCACGGATGGGGGCAACCCTCACGAGTGACAAGGACATGGGACATCCCCCAGGGTCACCCAGGATGGGGGACAGAGTTCCAGGGGTAAATGGGGCAGGAGAAGTCCCCAGTGGTTTTTGGCAAGGACAAGAGGGTTCCAGGGCTCTGCAAAGGGAGGAAGGAGGGGATGTCTAACACCCCTGAGGATGCCCAGGACTGGTGAGAACAAGGAGGATCTCCAAGGTCTGCTGGGCACCAGGGGCCACCCAGGAACTCCCTGAGGCCCACAGGCAGCAGAGGAAGCCACGAGGGCTGCGGGCAGGGCTGGGGAAGCCACCGACAGCCCCGGAAGGGCAGCGAGGGGCTGATAGCACCGTGCTGAGGGTCCCCCATGCCAACGCCCTGCCCGGGGCTGCTCACCATCTGCCGGAAGGCCTTGGAGTCCTTGGTGCGGGAGAAGGAGCGCTCGGGCACCCAGCGTGGCACCAGCCCCTCGGTGGAGTTGGCGCGAGTGCGCTGCAGCTTGGCCAGGATGGCTTTCTCCTCCTTCTGCAGGGTGACACAGCCATGAGGGGGTGACCCCAGCTTTCCCAACCCCCGCTGCCCCCTCAGAGCACCCCAACTGACGCGTTTCTGGCTGCAGCCCACGATGAGGAAGGTCTCGATGTTGTGCTCCTTGAGGTAAGCGTTGCGCTCGCCCCCGTGGCCCGGCTCCACCTCATAGTCCCCGTTCAGGTACTGCAGCGTGGCCCAGGTGATGTGGATCCGCCTGGGGGTGAGGAGGATGAAGATGCTGAGCCCTCNTCCCAGCCCCATGGTCACCCCAGTCCTGGGGTTGGTCCCAGCCCCATGGTCACCCCAATTCTGGGGTTGCTCCCAGCCCCATGGTCACCCCAGTCCTGGGGTACAGGGAAAGAGCTGGTCCCAGCCCCATAGTCACCCCAATTCTGGGGTGTGGAAAGGGGGTTGTTCCCAGCCCCATGGTCACACCAGTGCTGGGGTGCAGGGAAAGGGTTGGTACCAGCCCCATGGTCACTCCACTCTTGGGGTGCAGTGCTGGGGTTAGTCCCAGCCCCATGGTCACCCCAGTGTGGGGTGCAGGAAAAGGGTTGGTCCCAGCCCCATGGTCACTCCACTCTTGGGGTGCAGGGAAAGAGCTGGTCCCAGCCCCATGGTCACCCCAGTTCTGGGGTTGCTCCCAGCCCCATGGTCACCCCAGTGGTGGGGTGCAGGGAAAGGGTTGATCCCAGCCCCATGGTCACCCCAGTGGTGGGGTGCAGGGAAAGGGTTGGTCCCAGTCCCATGGTCACCCCAGTCCAGGGGTTGCTCCCAGCCCCATAGTCACCCCAGTGCTGGGGTTGGTCCCAGCCCCATGGTCACCCCAGTCATGGGGTGCAGGGAAAGAGCTGGTCCCAGCCCCATAGTCACCCCAATTCTGGGGTGTGGAAAGGGGGTTGATCCCAGCCCCATGGTCACACCAGTGTGGGGTGCAGGAAAAGGGTTGGTACCAGCCCCATGGTCACTCCACTCTTGGGGTGCAGTGCTGGGTTTGGTCCCAGCCCCATGGTCACCCCAGTCCTGGGGTGCAGGGAAAGAGCTGGTCCCAGCCCCATGGTAACCCCACTCCTGGGGTTGTTCCCAGCCCCATAGTCACCCCAATTCTGGGGTTGTTCCCAGCCCTATAGTCACCCCAATTCTGGGGTTGTTCCCAGCCCTATAGTCACCCCAATTCTGGGGTTGGTCCCAGCCCCATGGTCACCCCACTCCTGGGGTTGTTCCCAGCCCCATGGTCACCCCAGCCCTGGGGTGCAGGGAGGGGGTCAGTCCCAGTCTCAGGATGCAGGAAAAGGGTCATTCCCAGCCCCCCACACCTTGCTCCTACCTGGAGCTTCCAGAGGAAGTCGAGGCGGGCGGTGGACTCGACCTGCTGCGCGTGCAGGTACAGCGCGAGGGCAAACACGGCCAGGACCACGGGGGTCACGTAGCGCAGGGCCACCTTCCCCTCTGCCGGGCTGCAGGACCCCCAGGAGCCCTGAGGTGGGCTGGGGGGTCTGTCCCTGCCCACCCAGAGATCCCAAACTGCACCCACCCATTCCATGGACAACAAATCTGCACTCAAATCCCCAAGTTCCCACTCACCCACACAGGAGAACCTCAAAGATTCACCCACTCATCCAAGAGACCCCAAACATGCACTCAGACCCCAAAGATCCACCCACCCAATTCAGGGACACCAAATCTGCGCTCAGACCCCCAAGATCCCACTCACCCACCTAGGGGAACCCCAGACGTGCACCCAACCCCAAAGATTCACCCACTCATCCAAGAGACCCAAAACCTGCACNAGGCCGCCATGTAGGTGCTGCCAATGGTCTTGATCTTCTCCAGCTGCCGGTACTTCTGCTCGCTGATGATCTGGGGGGACGGGCTGGGCTCACCCCCACAGCACCTCGACAGGGTGATGGGTACCCCAAGTCCTGCACGCCCTCCTGTGGCTCTGTGAGTGCTGTTCATGGCTTTTCCAGCACCTCCTGCACTGTGGCTCCAGCAAAGCTGCTCCACAGCCTCTCCAGCACCCCATGACCACATCCCCTGCACCCCAACCTTCTCCATGGCATTCCACAACCCCTCCAGCACCCCATGACCACATCCCCTGAACCCCAGCCTCCTCCATGGCATTCCACAACCCCTCCAGCACCCCATGACCACATCCCCTCCACCCCAACCTTCTCCATGGTGTTCCACAATCCGTCCCCCACCCCCTACACACCATCTCCTGCACCCTGTCACAAACATGGTGCTCTGCAGGCTCTCCATATCTTGTGCATCCCATCTTGCACCTCATTCATGGTGCTCCACAGCTTCTCCAGCACCCCATGACCACATCCCCTGCACCCCATCTTCATCCATGGCATTCCACAACCTCTCCCACATCCCCTGCACACCATCTCCTGNAACTCCTGCAGCACCCCAGGAATGCCAGCACCTCCCCACGCCCACAGGGACCTTGCACCCCTGGGGACACTGTGCCAGCACCCAGCAACCTCAAGGGCTCAGTGCCAGCACCCACTGAGGACCTTGGACCTGAGCAACCTGTCCCAGCACCCCGTGTGTGTGGGCACCCTGTGCTGGCACCCTGCACCCATGGGGACCCAGTGCCACCACCCTGGGGGACACTGAACCCTCTGGGACCCTGTGCCACCATCTTTGGGGACACAGTGCCTGCAAGGACCCCATTCCAACATCCTATGTTCTCAGGGACCCTGTGCCAGCATGTTTGGTGGCACTGCACCCATGGGGACCCAGTGCCACCGCTCTGGGGGACACAGAATCCTCCAGGACCCTGTGCCAGCATCCTTGGGGACACAGTGCCTGCAGAGACCCTGTGCCAGCATCCTGCATCGTTAAAGACCCTGTGCCAGCGCTTTTGGGGACACTACACCCATGGGGACCCCACACCAGCACCCTTGGGGACACAGTGCCTGCAGGGACCCCATTCCAGCACCCTGAGTTCTCAGGGACCCCGTGCCAGCATGTTTGAGGACACTGCACCCATGGGCACCCAGTGCCAGCACTCTGGGGGACACGGAACCCTCTGGGACCCTGTGCCAGCACCCTTGGGGACACTGCACGCATGGGGACCCTCTGCCAGCACCCAGGGAGGACTTGGCACCAGCAGGGCCCCCTGTGGGAGCCATGCCCTGTGCCAGGCAGTGCCCACTCACCTCGGGGAAGTCACAGGCCAGCCCATCCCCGTGGCAGGAGCCCATGGCAGTGCCCAGGGAGAAGTTGAGGGCACGGAGCTGGCACGGCCCCACGGAGCCGGGGGTGA